CCACTGACACTGTCATTCGCTTTTTGCTCTCTCTTTTTCTTCTCTCTCTGTCCCAAGAGGGACACTTCTGTAACGCTTGAGCCGTGGATGTATATACACATGCCAAAGAGAAACAAATGTTTGGGCTTGGATCAGGTCCTTCGTTTAAAGGCACGTGTTAAAGATCTGTGATGGTTCCTTGCTACTTCTAGCAGCTTCCCCAAGTCTCAGTGCCATTTTCTGCCTCCGTGCAACTTGTGTTTGTGTTGTGTCCACCCCTATTACTGTCTGCGGCCCCTCTGGCTGTCCCTTCTGTAACTGAGACCCCTGTAGAGACTCCCCGCTCCCCATTTGCCCACGATCACATGTGAGAACTTGAGCCTTGATGAAGACCCATGCTCTACTGTAGCACTGCTAATACCAACAAAACGTGCATGTAGGTTAAAGGCCTCATTTGTCTCTCTTTATGCAAGTTTTTCATACTTTTGCAAGGCGTTAAGTATTGTTTTGCAGATAGGAGCAGCAGCATGGTACCCCCAGGGCAGAGGAATGGGAAAGAGCTGTAATTATTTGCTGCAAGAGTTTAGTCTAGCCAGGGAACCTTTAATTGCTGGCAGCAGGTAGGTAGTTGGCTGTCTTCTGGCTAGAGCAAACACTTTGCAATCTGCTTTGAACTCTTCTGTTCTGAGGGGTGAAGACAGCGTAAGAAATAGTAGTTAATACAAAAAACTTGGTATTGAATTTTAAGGTGACTTAACACTCTACTAGTGTTTGTCTTCTCTCCTGAGAATGATGATGCTTGAAGGCGAGATGAAAATAAAGGGGAATATGTCTGCATGCTAGAGAATTACCTTCTGCTGTTTTATCCTTGAAGAGTTGCATTTTTAAGTTGCATGGTCCTAAAATTAGCATATGCTAAGGTATGAAGTGAAGTTGCTTGATCTTTCTCTCTGCATTTGTGCTAGGAGTGATTAGAGTTGCTGAAGACAGAGAAGAGGGGTTTGCTGTCAGTGTGTTCTCTTGTATACTGTTCAAATACATTCAGCTCAACTTTTTAATTCCTGGGGCAAATACTTGATATGACTTGCTGGGTTGGCAGCTTTTATGGAGCATTTACAGACTGAAAGGGCCTTTTCCTTCTCTTCCAGGTTTTTCTTGCTAATCCTTTTTTGTTTATAATTTTCCTCAATAAAGATGGAAAAAAAGTTCTTTGAACTGTTTTGTCGTAGAGAATGAGATCATCAGTGAAAAAATAAAAAAAAGGAACAGCTTGTTCTTTGTTCTTCTGTGAGGTGCCACCAATTCTCTTTTGATTTTAGCATCGTATCAATGTTACACACACAAGGTTTTGGAGTGGGTTCAAACACACCAGATTCCCAGATCAAGGAGCCAAACCTTCTCCACAGCTGCTGTGTGCCTAATGCAGCATCGTGCTGGGGGAGACCTGCTGACCTGCCACTCATAGCTCTATCGCTTGGTAAGCTTCAAGAGAGGATCCAGGCTTCTAGAAACTTGGAGCAATACAAGGCCATTATATTTTGCCATTCTAGCAGCCTATGTGATGGGAAATTGTCTTCTCTGTGTGCAGTGCCACAAGGGCATCAGAACTGTGTTGTTTGCAGTAAGGTGGCAACAAATCCTGTCCCTCTTGCATAGAGCGTTGGCCCAAGAGGAGCTTTGGTGGCTGAGTGCCCAGCCCTTTCCCTATTTCTACTTGCGGACCTTGGGAGAAGAGCTTCTCTTTGCAAAGGGCCTCATTATTGGGTTTTGCAATGCCATAGTGTAATTTCAAATAATACCCCTGTCTCCCATCCATCTCTGTTGCCGTGTTTCTGTATTTTCAGAGGGGGGCTAATAGGGTACAGCTGGTTAATAAAACATGTGTTGCTTGATTCTAAACTGCATTCCCTGTTGCTAAACGTCTCCCACGTAGCAGCTTTGTAGTGGTGGAGTTCAAATGGGATGACAATTTTGCACCCACTTTCAGATGAAATGATATTAAATGAAAAATCCCAGAGATTCTAAGTGAAAGAAGCTATCCAAATGCCTTCAGCGTTTTTCATTGCAATAGACGCTTCCTTCAGCTCTTGCTTTAATACCAGCATATGAAGTGTCTGGCTTAATCTCCTGTACATTCTTATGTAAATTCCTTTTTAAAAAAAAAAAAAATCCTTAAACTGGTAGTGTACACCTAGCTTTAGGGGTTGTTGAGCAGCTTTAGCTTCACTGTAGGAGAATTTTAAATTTGGGGTGAAGCAAGTCTATGGTTTGTAAAGTAGTCGTTTCTGTAACAAATTTAGGGTATAAAGTCTGTCATGATGGAGAGCTACATGCCAAGACTTGAAGCCTCTGTTTGCTGGAAAAGTAGATTTCTTCATCAATATGAAGGTGGAGTAGACCATGTGTAGCAGCCTGTGGTGTGTGGTCCATGTGGTGTCCACCCTTTCCCCCTTTCCTCTCTTCTCTGACAAGACTGTTTCAATAAACGAGTGCTGGTTTAACTCTCTTTTCCTTTCATTCAGGCCACATTTTCTTTTTTCCTTAGGAAATAACACAAGACTTACAATGTGAAATGTTCCTTTTGTGACTTTGTCATAAAAATTAATGAGACTAGAAAAACTGTTTGTGGACCTGGAAGAGAATCCTAGTGAATAGTATTTCTCTATCCACAAAGCTCTTTCATTTTAATTAGCAAATAAACCAGGAGAGAGCAGTAGGCAGGTATTTCTGTGCAGGCTTAGGCTGGTATTTTGTCTTACACATTCAAAAGCAGTGATTTGAGAGAAATCTGATTGGTTGATCATTGTGCTGTATCTTCAAGTTCTCTTGGTCTGAATTTTTTGGGGGTGAGGGAGATAGGGTGATTCATACTTGAGCAAGACAAACCCAAGAGCTGCCAGTTTGCATTATGTCAATGTATGTAAGAAAATATTTAGATAGAATTTCCATTAAAAGTTCAAAAGCAGGGGGCTCACGCTGACCCCGGCTTTTAGAAGCTCTGGTGGGAAACCTGAATGAAATTTAACTCTGCTCAATGTGTTTTCGTTGGCTAACTCCATGTTTTATTATCTCATGCAATGAGATCTTTCTTGGTTTGTCAATTTTCTACCAAGGACAAAAAGTTCATGTATGTAACAGTGCACATATTGAATTAAAGTACGATTAAAGGCATGATGTAATGACCCCCTCTCCTTTTCCTTTCGTCAATATTTGCCTGCAGGGTCAATACATTACAATATTGACTTCAAAGTATTCAATATTTTTTTACCTTCTGAGTGTGTTGGCTTCGAGTGCGTGTAATATTAAACCTGTTGGTTGAACTGTTGGTCTAAGACTTACTGTCTAAGTAGTTTCAGGCTTGGATGCCTAATCCATGTAGAGCAACTTTCAAGGCATGTGATAATATCACAACACAGCTGTAGGCAGCTTTCTGAGGTGAACCATTTAATCTGCAGTCTTTTCTCCCAGCTTCCTAACGAGTGGTGGAATTTGTCCCTTGGTGTGCGATGAGATTATTGTCCTCTCCCCCTGCTGCCATCATATTTACTCTCTGCAGGACCCTCCAGTGACTGTAGGTTATGTGGACAAATCTAAACCCCAATGCTCCCGTCTTCCATGTGCGTTTCTGCTGCCTTTACATCTGTGCTCTGTTGAGTGTACAAAAGCTGCACAAAAAGCGAGATAATACTTTACATACTCAAAGTGCTGCGCAAACATGGCTTAATAAAATTAAGTTAAAATTGTTACGAATTCAAACAGTCGCACAGGGTGGGTTGGTGCTCACTTATCGGAACTCCCAGCTGGGGGCACAGTGGGCTGGGTGGCTCCTAATATGAGCTTGAACCTTCTCACGCTTCCTCTTCGCCTGTATACATTTCCATTCTCACTCTGCTGAAATCTAGCACCAGTATCCATTAGAAGGGCACACGGACAGATGTACTGCATGATGACAGCAGCTATTAACAATTTATCCTTCAAAAACGTGACACTCTAGAGAAAGGCTTTGATAATATTCTTTGCAAGGCGTATAAACAAACAGGATTGTCACCAGCATGGTGTCTTATTACGTTGTCTTTTTAAAAAAATTAGGAAAAGAAAAAATATTTACAGATACCAAGAAGTTAGTGAATTCCTCTAAAGAACCAAATGTTATAATTAGGAACCCACTGCACTTAGAACTATTCTACAAATAAGCACCTCAAATCTAGCCTAGTCCTTCCAGAGAAAACAAAGGTCAATAGGCTTCTTTGAGGATTAGCAAACCAGAATTTCTTGGGCCAAGGTACTAATTACTTCCAAAGCTGAGGATGATCGCTACTTCCAAATCCAAATTATTGCCAAAACCTCAGTAGTAGTCCTCTCTAGCCTAACTTTTGAATTAAGGTACTTCTAGACTGGACTCTAAGGATAAAAAGCCTAATCTGAAGGGAAGGCAGGATAACAGTGGGAATATTCTGCTTGTGGAAAGCTGCGCTTCTGCATAGCCTAATACGAAGTCACTGAAGACTTCCCAGGTCCCCAGCAGCAATTTGGGCTTAACCAGGGTGAAGTGGAAACAAGTGCAGCTCTTGGAACTCAAAAGCATAAGTGACCTGCTGCTCCATACCTGGGAAACAGTGTCCTGCATTGCCTGTGTGCTTGTAAGGTGGGGTCCCATATTTCTTGCTTACTGCTGTCTGACAGCATAGGGATGAGGACTGGGCTCGCTATTACAAGCTCCTAGTTGGAGAGACTTACCCACATGGTTTTTAAGGGTTTTCACATATCCACCGCTGTGCTTGAGGATTCACTCGTATTTGCATTCACTCGTACGTTGTAGCCACAGTGGCTGTGAATTTGCTAGTGTCTTGAGAGACCACGTTTTTCATCTCAGATGGAAGAGGTGGACAGAAGTATCATTTTTGTGAGGTCTAAGCATAAGGCATATGGTAGCACTGGGAGAGGGGGAAGAGGCATCAGAGTTAAATATGTCAGCAGTTCATTTCTACCTGCAGCCTGCTGACTCCCTTGTGCAATTTCAGGGAACTTCGAAGTGGGTGTTCACATCGCGGATGTAAGCTACTTTGTACTGGAAGAAACAGCACTGGATAAGGTAGCAAGCGAAAGAGCAACTAGTGTCTATCTAGTGCAAAAGGTAAGGACAACTTTTCCTTTTTTCGTCTGACAACTGTGTCTTTCATTTACCATAAATTCATTTTAAAGGTTCATTTTCAGATACCCGCAATCAAAATCTGGCTATTATTGCAGCAAACCTACAAGAATGAGTAAATTGATGCAAACGCAAGAGCTAACATAGCTGCTGAGTACTTTGGAGCTTACGGAGAGAGCACGGGGTGAAGCAGCAGTTCGTGACCCTGTGTCTGTGGGCAGAGACCCGGGTGTGCCAGGGCTCGCCAGCTCAGGAGCAGCTCCGTGTGAACGGGACTCTGCTGATCTGGAGCTAGTTCAGGGCCCAGAGCCGCACAGCTACATTTACGCTGTGCTGAGCCTGAGATAACCCTGATAGGCCCAAGCTGGCTCATCTGCTTTGCTGTTGCAGGCTTGAAATTTGCAGATGTGGTGGTGGTGGAGAGTTTTATTTTTGTCTTCAGTGCAGTAGTGGTAGGTAATCCCTCCCAGAAGTGGATGCATAGCAGAGCAGGGTGTAAAACACCCTGTGCAATCTCACATTTTGAGGTGCAACAGTATTTAACGACTTTTCTTTTATCTGGGTGTGCTAACTACTGGAAAAATATGCTCTCTCATCATGCAGTGAAAAGATATTTGAAATTGTAGAGATTTTAGTGTAACAGAATTTAATGTTAAAGTCAAGTTTAAAGTTGACTTCTAAACTTTAAAAATAAACAGGTTCAAGTTTAACATTATCGGAAAGGAAACATCCAGGTTTTGTCTGTGCCTGTCTCATTTTCAGTTGAATGTGCAGAAACATTTTCTAGCTCATCAGATACCGCCGGCAGTGTGCGTGCAGGGAAGCCGGGAAGCTTGGCTGTTCTGTGTCGGCCTGAAGCATCAGCTGCATGAAGAGGAGTGTTGAGGCAGTCTCATAGGAGCAGATTAATCTGCCTCTCCCCGCACTCCCATGCAGTCAGGCTGAAGTCCTTGTCTCCGCAGCGTTTTCCGGGATGACAGGGTATCTTTTGTATAATAAATAAACATATCCTACTTGCTACTTAGGATTAGGAGTGATTCTTCCCCTCCCTTCCTGGATGTTCCCAGGGTTGCTATCCGGGGAGGGTCTTGTAATGATGCTTGTTCCAATAGCTGACTGTGTCCTCTCCACACTTTCCAGATGATAAAATGATTTATTTTACACTATTGAAAACAAATTAGTGGTTTGATATCAAGCTGTTAACCTTTAGTAGCTGTTCTGTAACTTTGCTTGGGTAGAAATAGCAAGGCACAGCTTCAGGGGGTCTCAGTGAGTCTGGTGGATTTTACGTCTCTGTGGGTATGGGTTGCGTGGAATAGCCACGATAAGCAATGCAGAAGTGCCCAAGCTGGGTCGGTGGTAGTGAGGCCAACAGCACACAGGTGCTGCAGTGCAGGACCGAGTTACCAGTGACTTGCTGTTCTCCAGGAGTGGGAAGCAATGTGTATCTCATGGAAGCAGCAGTTCTGGCACCAGAGTCTTCCCAATCCTACAGTCTCTCCAATGATAAGCCCTTGGCTTCTGCGGTGCTCTGTTTCCACCTCTGATGGATGACTCAACGGCCATAGCTCGCTATGGGAGATGTGGGCTGACCCAGGGGGGATGTCACTGCAGGGCAGCAAAGCTGTAGTCCAGGAAGATGTTGTGGCAGTATTTCCAAGTCAAAATACTGTGTTTTGAAGGCATGTGATTTTTTTTTAAAGGGAGAAGGAAGGATTTTGTATAGAAAGGGGGCATTTTTCATAAAAATCTAGTTGAATTCAAAAGCTAATTGAATTTTCTTTCAAAGCACTTTTTCCCCCCAGCACTACCAGTCAGTCATGTATGATGCCAACGTAAGTTATCTGTTGCCCGTAATCTTCAATTGCTCTTCAACTACCTTTGCCCAGCCATCAGATTAGTGTTTTACCCACACTTCTGCCCTGCAGAAAATACATTTTAAGAGTGCAAACTAGGATAGATGATGAAATGGTCAATATTTTAATTGCAAGAGATGAAAAGGAGAGAGGGGATGGGCAAAGGAAAGCAGCCAGGCTGTCTGAAACAAGATGGTAGCATGACTCTTGTAGAAAATATGCTTTCCTTTGATGGAACTGATTCCGAAGACAGCTGTGATTCTGCTAGAGGTTAGCACCATGCTAATCCTCCCAAAGAAGTTAAATAAAGCCACATATTTAATTTTCCTGAACCATGTACCCAGAAGGGGAGTTATTGTGTAATTGCTAGCGGTCTAATAGAAGTCAAAAGTTTTTGAAATAAGAGCGTATCAGGTTTTAAGAAGCAAGAAAACCTAAACAGTTTCCTCTTTTTTGGCACATCTTATAGTGTTATTTTAGGTGTGAAGCAGCTCAAATGAGAGGTCAGCCATAAATCCCTATAATATTTTATTGGTCCTATTTTATACTGGAGATCAAAGATCGGAACTGTAAGCCTATCTTCACGTGGAGTCCAAGGACTTCGAGACATTCACTTTTGACACCAGCAGGTTGTCAGGGTGTTGATATTTTGATAATCTCAGGCTGAGTAACAAAGAGTTGCTCGAAATCTGAATTCATGGAAGTGTTGATACAACTCTTGAGCAGAAATCTTGGCTCATAAACAAATTGCCTATTTCCTTGGAGTGTCTTTTAGTGTGTAAGCAAGAGGCTTGCTGAGCCCACCCCATTGTTGGACCTCGGCATCCTCCTCCCGGCTCTGGGGAGAGCAGCTGATGGAAACTCTCAGTTAATACAATCCCTCCCCGTCGGACCGGCAGTGGGAGAAGGGGTCGCCCCGGGAGTCAGCGGTGGTCGTAACCAACCCGAACCAAGCCTGAGCGGGCAGCCAAAGCAGGGCGCCAGCAGAACGGCGTTGTTTGAAGGGAGCAAAACTGCCCACACGACTTTGTGAAAATAAGGGGTTATTTTTAACCAGAGTTTGTTCCCTTTTCCCTTTGGTTGACTGATCGATTTTCCCCTTCTGTTCCTTGAAAAGCTGCTACAGTGAGTCCATTGATGAGAGCTGCCCTGGCTAACCCGCTCTGAACCTGGCCGGTGAGTCAGTCCTGGCTGCAGCAGATGTTTCTGATTTTAAAGGGAATGGGGAGTTTTATCATCCCAGTATGCGTGTGCTCCCTCCCAATGCCCGGTTACCTAGGAATGAGTCCGAGGCTGGAAACTTGCATTTGATTTCTGGAAGCACTTCATTAGTCAAAGAGGCAAAACAAAACAAAACAACGGGCTCTCACAAGCAGGAGGTTAGATCTTCCCGTGTCCAAACCATGCAGAGGAGCCAGCTGCTAAGCAGTGTGGCCGGCCATGGTTACAGGTACATGTGTTTTACAACCCTGGGACGACAATGTGTAGGAAACACTCCAGCCCTGGCAGTGCCTTCTCTTACACTGGTTTTCCCTTGCTGCCCACAGCTTTGGGGTGCCAGGACGTGTGGCTGTCTGCGGGGAGAGCCGATAGCGTGGAGGGGGGGCTGTCAGGCCGTGCTGGAGCACTAAGTGTCAAGCCGCGTACGGTAGTGCTGGAGATTTCCCATGTAGGACTTGGAAATAGGGAGAGAGAAATCCTCTGTCTGTAATTTGATTTGAAATGCAGACCCACAGCTGCGAGCATTTCACTCAAAGAAGTGCCCTTTCCAGTATCTCTTGGGCCCTGCTAGGCTTGTAGGGAGAGATGATGTCTTTTATTATTCTGACTGATAGAGGGGGATGAAAACCAGACAAGCTCTCACCACCCAAGCCTTTCTTCAGCCCTGGTTTCTGATACATTCATTAGAAAGGGTTTCCTGGGCGCTGAAAACTTTTTTTCATTGCAAAAGTTTTTCCCCCTAGCTCTGCTGGGTCTCTCCAACTGCATTTCTAGATTCAACTGCATTTATACACCCCTCTGTTCCAGCTTTATGATCCCTGTATAAGACCAGGTGAATTTATTTCCACCTGCAGTATAATCAAGCTGAATTATGTGATCCCCAACATAGGCACATCCTTAGCAATTTGCTAAGGAAACCACTTCACGCTGGAGGTGATATCCCTCGGCAGTGTTTCAGCTAGCTGGATTTCTGCGTGCCGTGGCACTCCGCAGGGCAGCTGGCAGACGCCGCTGTCTCTTGGCAGACAGTCACGGGAAGGGCAAAGCATTTAAAAGATGCCGGGCAACCTCTGGATTATTTGAGGCGATGCTATGCAGCCCTGATATTTTGCAAATCTGGGCATTAAAGATGTACTTAGGGAAATCTCCTCTCATCCTGCCTCTCCTTCAGAAAGAGATGGAGATAATCCTATTGCAAAAGTTCCTTCTGGGCAACCCCTGGGATAACTCCTGAAACATCTCGCTCTCCAAGTGTGACACAATTGTGACATCTTTGTATATTAAATGCTGGGCTTGCAACTACTAAGAATCCTTTCAGCCTGTGACCGTATCATGTTAAGGAAAAAGGAAATGTGTATTTATAACTTAAACTTCTCTGCTTGTGACAGTTGGTTTATTCTCTGTGTAGAGTGTGAAGAGGAATTGTGATGTTAAAGCAGAGGGAGGCAGTTAGCCAAGACTATCGTCTTGATGTTGAAAACAGGTTTCTTCTTTTAATTCAGTACGGTAGATAAAATTAAAATACCTTCGGTACAAGGTCACATTGTCTTATGTTATGTATGTATGTGCTGAGCCCAGGAAAAGGTTGATTGAATTCTTGCTCTCCTGTGAGGCTTCCTCCATGGCTTGGGTTAAAATACTTTGCCTGAAGTTTCTCTCCTGTAAAACAAGGATAACGTGGGTTGATGCTTCCCTATTTAACAGTAGGTTTGTTACAGCTAATTGCTTGGTGAGTGTTTAGTGCTGTAATTATGATCCGAGTTAAAGCTTTGCTTGTGTTTCACATCATTGAAAGCCCTTCCATAGAATTATAGCCTCTTGAATTGGATATTAATCCTGCTCAAGTACACTTAAAACAAGCATCCTGTTGTTTTTTTCAGGCTGTTCTTCGTGGATGGGCTTTCATGTTTCATGTAGGCATTTTTCTAGCAGACTGTTATTGCTTCATAAAGAGGATGTGCTAAGGCACAAAAATATTCAATAAGTACAGACCATTGTCAGATAATCAATCACAGTGTGGGGGAGAGAGAGGAAAGCTAGTAACTGCAGCTTTTAATTTGGGTGAAAAAGGGCATGGGAGCTTTTATTAAATTACTAGCACTTTGTTCACTGTGACCTGAACTTCAGGGTCTTATGGTGGTCATGGGCGATCTTAGATGGGCAGGGATTTCCGATAGTCTATAAAGCTATTTTCTTTCCTTTCTGGTATGGGTTGGCACTGCTCATGCTAAATTTATAACCTTGTGGTGTGGGTCCTTCCAGACAGCATGGTAGAGCTCACGTACTGATCTGTGAGTTATGAATGTACCAGTATTGTTAATGTCCTGTTCACAACTGGAATAACAGAGTTGACGGCCTTTGTGTTGCGGGAAACAGCTTATCATAATCTGTGCCCTTGTGACCCTCCAGCTGAACCAGTCCTGCTGATTCATGTTGCAAGTGACTCCTTGACAGTCACAGACCGTACTGTTAACCTTTTGGCATTAATATGCACTGCAATTAGAATGGATTTATAGCCATTGTCTGGTGCCAAACCACAAATGTGATTAAATATTTTAAGAGTCTTTCCTTCAAAGCAAAAGGTAAATACAAAGTGTGTGCACTTGAGGAGAAAATGGACATCAGAGACTGTGTTTTTTTCTTGCTGTTTTGAAGAACAGTTGTTCCCCTGGCATCCAGGTAGAAAAAGTTACCTATCTCTGAAATCACCAAATTGGTGTCACAGAGTTTGGAAGAGCTGGGGTTTGCATGCCAGTCGGCTTGCTGCTGGTGCTATATTTACAGGGTGGCACACAGAGCAATCAAAACGGAAACTGAATTAAATAGCTAAAATATTTTATGGCAACCAAGTAGAGCATTTCTCTCTGTGTTTTTCTGGAATGCCCCAGCCCACATTGCCACTCAAAATAAACGAAGAATAACACGGTACTTCTTTGAGGGCAGTTACTGCTTCTTCACAAAGGTAAATAATGAGAAAGGAAATAAGAATGTGAAACTCTAATAATTAGGTTTGCTTCATTAAACATCTGCTAAGTATTATCTTTACTGCAGACTTCACCTGGGAAATAACTCGGGGATGGTAGAAACACTTGGAGCTGCTCAGGTTTGCTCTAGTGTGAATATGCTCCAAAGCTTTTGCTTTGTTGCTGTAGTCAGGTGAGTAATTCATGATTTGGTAATTCAGTGTTCAGCAGCAGAAATATTGATTAGTTGTAAGGAATTAGGACACAGGTTAAAAAATCCCTGCCAGAAATTTCTGTTGGCTGACATTTTGTTCAAACAGTGTTGAGTGTAGTAAAATAATAATTGTTCTCCCTCTGTTTGCAAACACCATGTTCACTAGTCATAAAACAGGTGCTTTTGTTTATCTCACCAACATCTACATGTTCCTGTCTGTGCTACAAAGCATGGCTCAATCTTTATTAAAGCCATACACTACTCCTGTGATGCCTGGGAGATGTTTCATTTATGCTTCGCAGGGAGCAGACTTGCATTACTTGCCTGGCTAGAGAGTCTTCAGTGGCAAAGCAAGAAACACAGTTCCCAAATCCAAGCTCTTCAGCTCCTGATTGCCAGAACCATGTTTCTTCAACATCAAGTTTCCTGATGTGCTGATTCTTCCCAGTGTCAAAATGGCAGTGGGAAAGAAGTGGAAAACAGAGCAAACGTTGTGACCTTAAAAGCTGCAGAGTGAAGTGTTTGCATAACTGAGGATGCAGGGTGCTCCAGGGTGCTTAATACCTCAGAGGGGAGTGCTGGGAATAATTCGCAGGTGGGAGACTGACAGCTCCCTCTGGTCTCATTGAGGGACGGGGCTGATGTGGGCATTGGTGGCCTCAGCAGTGTCTGCCGTCCTCTCCTTTCGGAGGATTTGGGTTACTTACTTTGGGTTACATGGCTGTTCACCATGTAATGTAGCTCTGGCACGGGTGATGTGTCCCAGAGCTATGACGTAGCCACTCCTGCCACAAAGAATGTGATCCTGAAGGTTTAACGCATTTTCTCCTTTTGTGCATTGTTGAGCCTCTCTTTTACCAACTGATCAGGGAAGCTTGGCCCCAGACAGGTCTCTACTAAAAGCCCATATCTGACCAAGGCGCTCTTCTCTTCTCTTCTCTTCTCTTCTCTTCTCTTCTCTTCTCTTCTCTTCTCTTCTCTTCTCTTCTCTTCTCTTCTCTTCTCTTCTCTTCTCTTCCAGGTGATCCCGATGCTTCCCAAGCTGCTCTGTGAGGAGTTATGCAGTCTCAATCCCATGCGAGATAGGCTGACGTTCTCTGTGATGTGGAAGGTGACTCCAGAAGGCAAGGTACCTCGAGTAGTGGGCTGTCATCCTGCTAATCAGTCCTTCCTCAGTGGCCAGACCCTACTCTTGCAAACAGAGTGGTAAAAATGCCATCCCTTAACACCCAGGTGGATAGCAAAGGACTTGTTGGTGAGCAATACTGGAGGATGTAGGACTGTCTCTGTATTTTGCTTTACTGATGAGATACTGTGGAACTTCCAGCTGGAATAATCTCACAACACGGTGGGGAAAGGAAGAATATCTGTATGAATCTCTCCCTGCTCCTTGCTGGGTCACCCCTCCATTTAATGTCTTACCTCCAGCAGCAGCTCGCAGCTAATGCTTTGGGTGGGACAAGATGTTCCCCCTCTACTCCAAGCCTGCCTTGTGCTCATAGGCAGTTGTGCAATGCAGTGGATGAGGGCAGTATCCCTCTGTGGCCTCTCTGGTAAACAGACTATTTCATTCTTCTTCAGAGCTGCAAATTACATCGATCCAAATAAAGCACGATAGCTCTTCAGCAAAGGCACAGCTCCATCCTCTGCATGTGTTATTTCCAGGGAGCAGTTGTGGAGGCTGTCCGTCAGTGCAGCGAGCTGCCTTCAGCGGCCTGCCAGCTCTCCCCAGGTCTTTATTTCTATCCCTTTTCCTCTCCCACACTCTTTGTAACCCTAACAATCTCCTCTTTGGTGATCACAGGGTCCCCTCACTAATCAAGGACGGCTAAAGACTGCCACTACCAGAGGACTCTCCGATCTATGCAGAGTACACTTTTTGTACTCAGAATTATTTTTTTTTAACCAGTGTTGTGCTCATGCACAACTCTCTCTGTCGAGGGTATTTCTTGTGCCAATTTGGTAATTTTTCACAAAGGTTAACTTTGCTTCCTTATTGTTGTCCTTGCTGCTCTAAAGGACGCTGAATCTTGTTTTGTGCTTTAGCAAAATATAGTTGCAGTGTTCTATCTGTATTTCTCCAGTGAGTCCCTGCTCTGGCACTGAGGTGGGTTTTATTTGTTCGCTGTGAAAAGCATTCCACTTCCTATAGTGACAGCATGATTACTCATGGGACCTTCTGATAGTAGCTACTTGGTGGGCCTTTTATTGACTCTGAGTGGTCTTTGAACAGCTAATAGTCAAGTCTTAATTAAAATAAGCTTTTAATTAAATCTTGTCTCTTGTCCCCTGCAATATATACGTTATTTGCTTTTCAAGCAGTGTTCAGACCAACACTGTCTGGTCAGTGAGAAAATAGAGGAGCTGCAGCATCTGCCTTACGCCTGCTCGGGGAGCTGATCTCTGCAGGAGCAGTGGTCTGGGCCATGACCACGCTGCCCCTTGGAAAGCAGACTGCCTACGGCCATCTCAGCAAACTGGTTTCTCCTAGGAGGCCTTTCAGGACTGCAGTCTTAATCCAGGTCACTTGATTTGAATATCAGGTGAAAGCTGGAGAAGAATTTACTCCTTCCAAGAAGAAAAGTGGTTGTAGGGCTTTTGCCCAGCAGGGCATTCTTGTAAGCGCTTATCTGTGAGTTGGGACAGACTGTCTCTCCTGTATTTCTAGGTGTTACTACAGCCTCATCTCAGTCTGAACAGGATCACATGCTCTCCCAGGCTCTGCTGGGTGAAAGGGAGGCGAGTCAAAGGCCCCAACACGGCCTTTGAAACTCAGCCGGTGGTGGAGAGCCATGAGAACACTGACATTGAGGACAGGACATTTCTCAGTGAGGGATGCATGAGGCTGAAGAGCACTTTGTTGCACCATGTGTGTATAGCAGGATTGTAACCTTGAGCTTGCAAAATAGAGCCCAACAGCACTATAGAGGTGAGAGCTGCTTTGAGCTCCCACTGTTACTGCTCCAAAGCAAATAAGTCTAGAGCTAATGCATCTCCCAAGGAAAAGCCATGCTGATTCCTCGCTTGAATGTGACTATTGAGAAGTTGTTGGGGTTTCTAATTCTTGTTTCTTTTAGAAAAATAATACCAGGCTCAGCCCAGAGGGAGACAGGCACTTTCTTGTTTCTGTTACTTTTGGGTTCTGGAGTTTTTATCTTCTAGTTTTCCGTAAGTGTAACAAAATGTTGCCTGAGCAGCACTCCACATAGCTGCATGGACTCCAGTGGGATAGTGTGACATGATGTATCTGAGATGACTTTCCAAGGGCAGAGGCGTTAACCATATTGCTGCATCTGTGCTGTTCTTCAGAAGCAGAGCTGGGCGTTTATAGGAACAACGCAGCACGTTCTTGTTCGGATGCAGTCAACAGAAAGATATTTGAAAACAAACGATGCAACTCTCCTTTTTAAGTTACTGCCTGCTGATGTTTGAAGCACAGCCCTGCTGGTTCCTTCTACCAGTGAGGATGAGAAATTGCTTCAGTCTGAAACAACCTATACAAACAATGTGTCTTCCAGGTTCAAAACTGTTGTCATCAGCCAGGACGTGATATGGACACTACCTTGCGTGGAGAAAGTCCTCAGCCTCCTGCACAGCTATGTCACACCCTCAAAGAGACTCGTACCACCAGGGACTGTGCTAATGGGAGGATTTCAGCTGAGCCATGCTGACTGCTGTCACATGATGTGCTGGGGACTACAGCTTTTTCTCAAAAGCAGCCAGAGCTGGGGGAAGCCTTCACATAACCCTAGAAATGTCTCAGATACTGGTACTCTGTCTGGAGCCTGGGTGCACCAGGTTTGCTGTGATGGGGGAGACCTTGCAGACCAGTCTTGTGGGCTACTCATTGTAATCTCCAAGTCCCAGCTCACAACTGCCAAATGTTGCTCCTCTGCACTGCTTTGCCCATCCATCAGCCACTGGTATGTGGCCAGCCAGCCTTGTGTGGCTTTCCCCGCAGAGGCGGAGCTTGCCCATTCCTCTGGTGGGGTTTCCAAACCAGGGACGCAAGGCTGTGGTTACCCAAAGTCTGCTTGGATGGCCGCCGAAGGCAGAGACGGAGGGTATTTCCAGGAAATACTTGGACGGTGGGTAGAGTTAAGTTAGCCTGCCGCAGCAAGGCTGAGTCTGTCAGCTCTGCTCACTACACACAGGGATTACTGGACTCCAGGGGGCAAGATGCGTCCAAACTCCATTCCTTGCCTACGTGACTTGTGTTTAATGCATCCAGGCAATCTTGGTGAGAAGGTGTTTATTAGGTAAGTTAATAAGAGATCTCTCAGGGTTGTCACTGTCCAGTTTACACCTGTTAGAGTCATTGCAGGAATGGAAATTTGGCGCCCTGCATCACGCTGCTTGGTTGCCTTTGAGAGACCAAGAACAGAAAAAGGAATTGAGGAAACAGAGAAATAAAAGAAGTTTAATATCTGCTAGTAATGGGCTGCTTGTCCCAACGCTTTGCCCTGAATGTAGCCTGCCTGAGATTTGATGTTCTAGTTATATTCTAGAGGCCCAACATGCTGCATCTCTCGTCTTACAAGGAAATGAGCGGAGTTCTGAAATATTTGGCCTCTTCTAAGCAAGCAGAAAAATGAGATTTTGTTGAAAGCTTCAAGTTCAGACAGCAAAGTGGAAATCCGGTCTGTTGCCTCCTGCAAGGGACAGAGAGAGCTCTTGGAAGCCAGCGGTAGAAAGCACTGTGTAGCGTCAGAGCTGGCTTTCAGTGGTAACCTGGGGACTGGGGAAAGTGCTTCTTTTCAGAATTACCCTTCTGGTTTGTGCCCTGTCCTTAACCCTTTTCAAGATGCATGTGCACGATGGAATTGACTCACCTACTTTATAAAGCAAAATGAGAGTGCTTTCCAAACACAAAATATTTAGTGTGGGATAATATAACAGTGAGGGCCAGAACTGATAATGACCTTTGATGCAGAAATTAATAGCTGGACATGAAGGAACTAGCAGGGAAATAGAAGTAGTGTCTGAAAACGTTTGAACAGCAAGTTGAAAGAGCTGCCTATGACAACTGGAGGGTCTGTAGAAGTGCTCAACTGAAATCAAGGCTGCTTAGCCTTGCTCCCAGATCATCTCAACAAGGAACACCACCTTTTTGGTGCCTGAGTACTGTGCATGTAAGTCTGAAGTATCTCTATTGCCAACCAGCTAATAGTCTTCAACTTGCTGGAAGTGGACCATTTAAAGAGCAGTGCAGCCTCTTCCGCACCAGAGATCGTGCTTGCTTAATATCAGGAGTTTTTTTGCATCCAGCAGATTTCATCAGATGTCGCTGACCTACTGGATGTGGATCCCCCATCCCCACAAGAAACTGAACCACATTTAACGGGATGCAGCAGAGCACAGAGCAGGTGCTGCCAGCACTGCCGCAGCATCTCTGTCCAGCTTTGTGACTTTCTCTTCCTTTCTTTCTCCTTGGTATAGAAAAAGGGGCACACACAGAATAACCATGAGCCAAGAGTCGGAGCACTTTACATTGCAAGACATCTCCGCTATTAGGATACTTTCTAATTAGAAATGAGCTTAAATGCTCTGTGACTTTCAGAGCTCTGAGCTGCTGAGTTATACTGCACATATGTTCTGTGGGGCATAAGGGAGGGAGGCAGCAAAGGTATCTTGGGGATCAATCTTTTCCTGTTAAGAAGAGGGTTTGCCTTTCGGAAGCAATGTCCTTGATGAGTCGGTCATAGAGCGAGCTGCCTGTTCTCCCTGGACACCATCACTTGCAGAATTTACCTTGTCCTGTTGTGCTGATGAAGGGCTAAGGTGGCACTTGTAGCTAAGGCAGAATTACAGTTCTCCATTCATTCTCTGAGCACTTGTGCTTTCAATGGTTTATCACGAACTGCATCCATCTCCACAGCCCTCGTGCCAATGCTCTTGACTTTTCTGAAGAGCCTTCTACCCTTTGTCCCTCTGCACTTTCTCACTGGTTTGATGAGCTTTTGGACTCTTATATATATATCTCAGCTGAAAATAGATTTTCCTTTCTGCTTTAAGAAATAATTCTGAATTGCTACTTCTACATTGGTATTCTGTTACGGAGTTTAAAATGGGAGTGGCTTCTGGTTTAAAATAAAAGAATTTTATAGGCAATTTATAGATTATTTTCCTCTAGATTCCAACATAGTTTGGAAGCTCAGAAAGGTTCCTGGCTTGAGTTTGGACCTAGGACCATAGGCATGATCAGAGAAACAAGGGGTCAGCGACTGGCCATCTCTCCTCCAGACCCACCAAAGTCCTACTCAGGCACTTTCACAAGTGGTAGTCAGACATTGAGGTCCCTGCAGTACTCCTGAAAACAGCATATTTTAGGGCCAGCCGCTCGTGCCCTGCTGGCCACATACAATCGAAGAAGTAGGATGCAGTTTGCTGTGTTTTAGATAGGAGATCCTTCTTTGCATGTGTGTATCTGCTTGTTGCCACCCCAGCACCTAGCAATCTTGGAATCAGCTGACTGATTTCAACTCCCAGCTGGGCTCGTAAGAGCTCTATGAAAGAGGGAAATCAGGTAGAGGAGAGAGGTCCAAGCAGTTCCTATGTGATGGAAAGACTTTATTATGCATATACGCATTACTAGACACGAGAGAATCTATATGGGCAGAAGGCCTTCTGGTGGCCTCAGTATGAGATGATCTTCACTTGAAGTTCACAGTCAGTGATGAGGTCTGCTTTTACGACTAGAAGAATAAGTCCTTGGATCTATTTACACTTTCCAATTTTGCAGATCCTTGATGAATGGTTTGGGCGGACGGTCATCTGCTCCTGTGTGAAGCTAAGCTACGACCATGCACAGGGTATGATTGAAAGCCCCAGGAAGATGTTCTCACCTGAAGAACTTCCCCCTGTCTCCCCTCAACACTCAATAGCTGAGATCCAGCAAGCTGTGCTGAACCTGCATCGAATCGCCCAGCACCTCCGCAAACAGCGCTTCATCAATGGTGCTCTGCGCTTAGACCAGGTGAGTAAATCCAGCTCCTGTAAGGGGCTCCCGCTCCAGTGAAGCAGTTTCACGTTGTACTCCTTAAGGATTTCTTGATCAGTCTAAAAACTCGAAGGGGAGCGTCAGGCTGGAATAGAAAGGCAGGTTTGTGTGCCAATGTCTTCTTAAAAGCAGCATCAAATTATGTACCAAAAGCACTAAGTAGGATCAAAAGAAAAATGTTCCTGTTTTTTAAGGAGTGATCCATCTTCCAACATTTTTCAAAATCCTAAAACCCCGGTGGAGTGGGTAAGTAACTTAGACAGTGAAACAAATCATGACGGTGGCATTCATTATCAAACAGTTCAGATATCCTTAGTGCACATTTCACTGTGAAAGGCTCATCCTCCACATTATTTCTGTGCTTGCAATACTCACGTTTTCCACAGCTTTCATAGCAGTTCTCTGGGCAGGGAGAATGACTAAATGTTATCTAAGCTAATACTTAAAAGTTTTGGGTGTGTTTCAGAGAAAGAAGTGCTAGTGAAGAGGTTTTCTGTCTGGGGTGATTTAAATAATCTTGTATCAGTTGTGGTATGTGTCATTTCTATTTTACAAGTAGATCCAGATATTTTAGACTATCACAGCAAAAATACTTTTGCTTTTGAGGTTCAGCTGCTCTGAGGTGGCTTCTGACAGTTTTTGTGGATAGGAGGTTCCAGTAATTGATAGAACCCAGTGGTCTTCCCGAGCAGGAGACAAAATAATCTCTTAATATAAGGAAACTCCATTGTTTCATTTTGCAAAACGAGCATGAGTCAACATAAGGATATTGCTGAGAAAGAAGCTAGCGTACTGAGATGTGTAAACAGTACTATTGTGTGTAAGAGGTATGTTGTAACCCTTCCATTTTACTCGGCATTGTGGTGTTGTCTCCAGTTTCTCTAATTTTAGAGAAACATTACAGAGCAAAAGAGCAATGAGTGTCTGTAATTTGCGACCTTCCCCGACGGAGCACGTGGCTTAGTCTGGCAAAGCTGTGAAGAGGAGGCAGTGTTCTGTTCCCCATGTCTAAGATGGACAGCGTGAGACATCTGTATCTTGAACTTCAGTAGAGGAGATTGGGGTTATACTTTAGGATAAACTTTCTGGTGTAAGAACTGTGGTGTCTAAGGCTATCTTGTCTACATCTGTAGTAGGAGGACTTAGAAGACTGGTTAGGCACATATGAGTGAGCCTGGAGCAGGGGCATTTCCTCAAGGTCCCTCCTTGCTCAAAGGAAATAATAATTCTTAAAGCTGTGTTCAAATAATTTTTGGAAATCAGACTCCCTCTTTGAAGTCCTGCAGAGATTGCTTAAACCTCTTTTGGAACAGAGGCTTCCCTCTGAGGTTTATTGTACAATGGCTAATGAACTGGGCTTTTGTTCCCAAGCGTACTCTGAATGCTAGAGAAACATAAAAAACCCCAACCTTTGCACTTAATGAGCTAACTGGGAAGCCTTGGAGATGTCTGGGTTGGAACAACAGTCCACAGTGACTGGGAGCTGTGGCCCAGAAAGGTCACCAGCTGCATTACACAAGTCACACTTACAGTGTAGTGCTGAGCGATCACCGTATGTGCCTGAGTTGAGTACCTGTTACCAAACTAACCTCAGGGAAAGTATGTTTTAAAACCACTGTGACACTTGCAATGGGAGGATTTGGCCAGGAAAGCATCCTGTTCCAGTGATACCCCGTAAAAGATTAGTGGTGGTTTGCTTTGCTCTGTGCTGTTACAGAGGAGCTGTTAAAGAGAACGTATTGGAGCATCATTTGTGAGATCAGGGTTAAAAGCCACTGCTAAGGGCACCAGAGAGGCCTGATTCCTACTCAACCTACTTCCTAACCAACGTGATAAACTGAGTTACATCTCACAAGTGGCACTTTATGCTGTGCAGAATCTTTCTCCCCTGGCAAGAGTGTCAGAGCAAAAGTAATCGTCTTGGAGAAGAAAGTTTATTTTAGTTCAAGGGACGCTTTCACCATACTTATTCTTTTCAAGTACTGCCTTGATAGTTGCGTTTTGATAAACTACACCCTCCCCAGCGCATGGAGAAAGCAGTTACTGTAAGGCCTGAATATGAACAGTATGTGAGGGACGGGTATGTGGACAAGGCCAGCGGCATATGGCCGGAAAAAGCAATCTGTAGCTTTTAATAGAAGGAGATGAGTCCCTCTGCCTTTGCTCCCCCGCTTCCCTGAGTTCCCATGGATGCAGTTGTTCGCTGGGTCCGACTTCCAGCCCCGAGCGAGCAAGCAAGGGTGGGTCCGAATGGGAAACACACCTTTCTAATCGCTGGACCTCTCACTGATTTCCTGTTGAGTAATGTAAATCCTGAACAATGGAAGACAAACTCCAGCAGGAAACTAGGGGCAATGAATTATCAGATTCCAAATAAATATGTGAACGAAGGAAATGATCATCCCACAATCTAAAGGGAGGGGGTGGCTGGGCATGGATGATTCCTGTGCCTTTTTTTCCAAGGGATGTGAGCCCTCTTCCTATACATTGCGTTATGTTTGAGAGTTTCTACCTTGGGGTCACTCCTGGTGGAACAGTGATGACTTTTTTTGCTTACTTCCACCATGCCATTTTTCAGTGTGACATGCTCTGGTGTTTCCTGTTGGTATTAAGAAAATCACTGGGGGAAGAATCTCCTGTCCTGCTTTGCTACTGGCTGTGGTGGCCTTGGGCTGGTGGTCTCCCTGCTGGCCTCAGTTTCCCCTTTGGAATGATATCAACCTCCCCATAGCATCCATATAATTTGGGATTTATTCCCCCAAACTAAGAACATCTCTCAAATGAAGCCATTCATGGGTGTATCTTTATAAGAGCAGAAATACTGGTTGGCCAGGGCGCCCCTTACACCCGACATAGGATGGCTCCAGTAAGATGCAGCGGTGTCAGGCTGGCCGTGCCGTGGTGAGGGGAATGTTTCCTGGTTGAATGGCTCTGCTGAATTTTTATGACCTAGTGTGAAAGCGGCATCTGCTTGCCCATGATTTTATCTTTTAGCAGTAATTTTAGAAGCAGGAATCTCTGTAGCTCAATGGATGAACAATATATATATTTTTTTTAGTAAATTGGGAATTAGGTATCTGGGTCACACAGAAGACCTTGAGACAAATTACAAAGGTAGCACACGGTCTTGAAAGCTAAGGATTTGTGGATTCAGTGTCAGTATGTATGTGTCTCTTTGGGGCTGTGTAATTCTGAATTCCTGCCTCAGTTTGGTCCTGGCCATTTTTTTTCTGCCCCTCTTTCCCCCCAGTTCTTTTCATGCCTCTGCAGAGGTCTATAGGGGAATCCTGCTGCATTGGACCTTGGGTCTGAGGACCATCTTTGCAACCAGAGCCACACATCTGTCACTCCGTAGGCTCTTGCTGTCCCCATAGGCCCCTTCTGGGGCTTTTTCCCTAGAATATGGTTTCCTGTGCTGCCTGCCAGCTTCCTACCTCCAGAAGGCAGCTGAAGTTTTAGAGTTTTAAAGTCTTTACACCTTCAGCGGCTAAGGAGCTTACAAAACTTTGTCCACACAGACAGATTAATGTATTTCTTTTCCTTCTCATTTGGAGCTGCAGCTTTTAGATGTAAAGGCAAGAAGTGCCTTGTGCTGTGGCTTTAAGAAAAACTGTTCAGATATTTATAATATTGTCTTCCCCCCCCAGCATCCTTTTTGCCCAGGACCATGAAATGCCACCCCTGTGCTGTCCTCTCACAGCTCTTGGTGCACCCGCACTATAAATTGGAGCAGGGATCTGACCTGGTTTAAAAACCAAAGTGAGCACAACCCACAACTTTCCTTTTTTTTCCTGGCCAGGTTACTTTGAAGCTGGATCACTTCCCCAAACCACAGCTTTTAGAAACGCTAGCCAGAGAATCAGATAGAAACTTGCTTTCAACAAAAACCATCAAGTTTGCAGAAAAGCTCCTTAGCTCAAGCCTGCCTGGAGGAGACCTGCTGATAAATGGTTCTCTTTTTGGCCTCAACAGTTTATAAATGAATCACGAGGACAGATGCCTACAAGATGACAGGTTAAAAAGGATTTCTGTGCATATTTAAAATGAGAATACCCCGGGATGCTGATCTGTCTCTATGACAACTGTCTGTGAGCTGAGCGGTGGCTTTTGTTGTGCCAGTGATTCTGCCTTTGCCAGCGCACTTACACCTGGGTGCTCAAAACATTGGCATTGACCAAAGTTCACTGTGAGAACAACCCAAAGTGCATTTGTGTTAGACCAGCTAATGGCATTGAATTGTTTGCTAGAATAGCTTCTCTCCTTGTTCTCTGCGCAGCAGACATTCAGCTTTGCAGGTGTGTGCAAAAAGGGGAGAAAAAAAGGATTAAAATAGCAAAGATGAGAATGTTACGCAAATTTAAGGGTTGAATTGCTAGTGAAATGGTCTTGCTTCTGCTTGCTCCCAGCCTGTGTGCCATGCCACTGTCTCGTTGTCTGAGCAAGGGCTGCTTTTCCCTGTGGGTCTCTATTGTTTTGAATAACTTAGAGATAGTTAAAGTTGTATTGTTGTACTTCTGCACCATGCTGGAGACCTTACCTATGGTCCTGTCCAGTGGGTGCTGGTGGTAAGGAAATAAGGGATCTTTGAGAATAGCTTTGTTTAATTAAGGTTGGTGGGACTCCTGAAGTAATAGAGTATTGCTGCTGCAGGAGAAATAGGAAAACAAGCACTAAGACTCCAAACACCAGAACGTGTGCAGAGTACCAGCTCCAAAACACCCAGGTATATGGCATACTGGATATATTAACCAGCTCTGTATAGTTTTTGAAGCTCTCAGAATTGACCCTGCCTACTTGATGCAAACAGCTCTGAGAAGTTGACTCAAGCCATCCCCACACGGAAAACGAGGAGGAAGGAGGACATTGTACGTGCAGGATGTGCCATTGTATGTTGGGAAATTTCATATTTAGTTGTGGCTAATGGGATAGGACAGAAACACGTATTTTTAGACAGTAGCTCCTGCTAATGCTGTTTA